AAGTGGCCAGCAGCGGCCACTGCACTCCAGTCTGGGTGACAGAGTGAGACTCCAATTAAAAAAAAAAAAGAACTCCCTGGATGACTGAGATTCACCCAAGTGATGTCCCTTTCAGGGAACGATTCTCATCTGGCAGAAAGGATGCTGGGTGGAAGGCTGGGGGTCTTGGTGTAAAGTTCCACCACAGGATGGCTGGGCCACCACAGACAAGTTTCTTCTCTGCTCGAGGCTTCTCTGTTCTTCCATTTGTAATACAGACTGGTGGTGGTGATTTGGATTTGATCACCTCCAAGAGTTGCTCCCTTGTTAAGTCTGTGATAACTCCCTTTGCTCACAGTGGGCCTTGGACACTGAAAGGAGGTACCTATAGAAACCTAGAATGAGCCTAGTTTAGCATAGTCTTTTGCCTCAGCATAGCCTTTTTTGCTTAGACTTTACCCTGACACACTTTGAATCTACCACAGGTTAGACATAGATAAGGTAAATTTCCAACAGGCAGGTTTTAGGATGCGTTCAGGCAAACTACATTCTACATTCTACTGCAGGCCAAGCAGCAGCCTACCCCACCCCCCCAGCAAATCTCCATCAGATGCAAGACAAGATAGAAATAATAGAATACCTTTTGGTCAAGGAGTTTGAGGATTGCAAATGTCTGACAAGCCTCTTGCAGGAAAACCTTCCTCCCCTTGTCTCCTCCCATCTAGCCCACCACCATGGCAGCAATCATGTAACTAACCTACCCACCTGCCTGCTGTCCATCACCTGACATCAGTACCTGTGCTTATCTGTCCCTTCGTAATGACATGGAGTAGACCACCACCCAATCACCTTAATGACCTTCCCCTGTCCAAGGGAAATGGTTTAAAGGACCATTTCAACCATGAGCAGCCATTTTGCCATTGCCTTACCAAACTCTGGTGTGGTCATGCGGTCTTTGAGCTATGGTTGTTCATGTTTCCTGGCTTTGGTCCCCTTCCCTACCTCGGGGAGGTCAATCTCCTCTTTCTCTCTCTCTAATTTACTAAGTAAACTATATTTTCTAATCTAACTTCTGTGCAATTCTTTGCATCTTTCATGTGGCATTGGCTCGCACAACAAACACCCCACACCCCTGGCGTGCCTGACCTAATATTCTGGAGGTCCTGCTGAAAGGGTTTGACCCTAACATTTTTGGAGCCCCCGGCAAGACCTAATAGACACCATGGCATCAAAATCTTTGTCCCACTGAAACTTGGCTTAGTGGGCAAAACTTGCTGGAGGACTTTTGACAGAGTGACAATGTCCATGTGTTACTTTTGTTAATAAAAAAAAGTTTTTTAAAAAAAAGAAGCCCCCTTGGGTCCCCTCCCACCGTGGGAGCTTTTCTAAAAAAAAAAAAAAAAAAAAAAAAAGGAGCCGCTGAATGGGCATGGTGGCTCAAGCCTGTAATCACAGCACTTTGGAAGGCTGAGGCGAGAGGATTGCCTGAGTCCATGGGTTCGAAACCAGCCTGGGCAACTTAGTGAGACCTTGTCTCTACAATAAATCAAAAAATTTGCTGGGTGTGGTAGTGCACATCTGTAGTTCCAGCTACTTGGAAGGCTGAGGCAGATGGATTGCCGGAGCCCAGAAGGTTGACGCTGGGGTGGCTGTGAGCATGTTACTGCACTCCAGCTTGGGTGACAGAGTGAGACTCTGACTCCAAAGAAGAAAAAAAAAAGGAGCCGCCAATCAGACAGGTATTGCATACCTGTGGCTTCACGTATGCAATGCTTTTCTTTGCTCAAATGTATTTGTTAACAATTCTCTTCCATTTTTATTTACCAAAGACATACATAACTACCATACATAACTGCTAAGACACTCTTAGCATTAGGCAACAGTATCACCACACTAAGCTGATGTAATTCCATCCACTTCCTGCAGAAACCCAACTTTTTAATTATACCTGAGGCTTGATCTTGGCATAGAAGTGATTTTCAAGAAATGTTTTGTTCTAATGGTAATAATGGAGATAAGTATTTATGAGTTACTTATTATATACCAGGTCCTATGCCGAGGACTTTAAATACATGCTCTAATTTAAGATGAGACATTTTTGTGAGGAATGTATTAATATTCCAACACTATCCGGTAGGTCAGGCAGGTTCCTAAAGACTATGAAACTTACACAGGGTAAGATAACTAACTGGTAAGTGGCAGGGTCTATCTAATTTCAAATTCAGTGCCCTTATTTACATCAGCATCCTGAAATCAGTTTGGGAATGCCCCTGACTGCCTACAACAACTCCTGAGGATCTGGGGATACCAAGCTGGGAATCCCTACATTGGATCACGACCAAAGCAAGGGAGGTCACATCTAACTATAACTAAAAAACAGCTGCAAGAAACCAATAGACCATCTCTCTACAGAAAATTGTTAACTAGGAAGGAGTTGATGACCAGGGGCAGAAATAAAGAAAGGGCCTTTTAAAATAAGGCCATTATTAAGGAATATGTTTCTATAGAGCTGGAGGAGCGGAAGTCCTTGTAATAGTAATAACTACTGTTTTTGAGTGCTCACCAGCAAGGCACACTGCTGTTTTCCCCATCAGCTTTCATACTATTACAATAGCTTTCATGCTATTGTTCTGCTTTTACAGCTGAGGAACAAAGGTACAGAAGAGGTAAATAATTTGCTCAAGGTCACTAAAAGTAGTAAGTGGCTGACCTGATTTGAACCTAGTAGTCTGATGCTGGAGATGCCAGCTGGTAAGGGTCTGACCCCAGACCAAGCAGAGGGCAGCGAAATGGCACCAGTCCGGCCTGGCTGCACTTGACTTACTGGGTGAGGGAGGGAGCATCACCAGGTGCCACAGGCTCTCCACCAGACTGAGCAGTGATGCTCAGTGATGCTTCCTGTGAAGGCATGTATTAAGTCTGCCTTGCAAAGAAAATTCTTGCCCAGAGCAAAGGGATTTGAACTAGCTGGCCCTTTGTATTATCAGTAGGACTTCTCTCCTGCATTTTGACAGATAATCAGAGTTTTTCTGTAAGCTGACAAAGTCCGTGTGCTAAAGCTGCTTAAAGACATTTTTTTCTGCACATTTTCCACACGCTTTCTGACTAGAATTTCTTTTTCACAATTTCTCCACAAAATGAGAAATGTAGTTCACCCTTCAGGATCCAAAGTTTACTTCCCTTAAGATGTCTTTTGACTCTTCCTGTCCCTGAATAAAAAAACCCAAAATCACTTGTTCAATGCTCCCATCGTACGGAAATATATGTATGTCATATCATTGAAGACCACCTCTCATGAGTTTATTATTTTTTTGTTTATGAAGTCTTTTCTTTTTCTTTCTCTTTTTTTGAGTCACAGTCTCACTCTGTCACCCAGGTTGGAGTGCAGTGGCATGTTCACAGCCACCACAGCCTTGACCTACTGGACTCAGGTGATCCTCTGCCTTCCAAGTAGCTGGAACCATAGACACATGCCACCATAACCTGGCTAAGTTTTCTTGATTTATTGAGAGATGAGATCTTGCCAGGTTACCCAGGCTGGTCTCGGACCCATGGGCTCAGGCAATCCTCTCACCTCGGCTTCCCAAAGTGCTGGGATTATAGGCATGAGCCACCATGCCTGGCCTTATGAAGTCTTTTCACACATTTTTTTTTTCACTTGATCAGGACAAGACATAGGTTCACAATCCCTTTTTCAAAACACCTAGGGCCAGAGATACCAGAGTTCAGAACCATGTATTATCTGCACTCCCAGTGGGGCTGTGGCAGCACCCTGTGATCAGACACATTAGTGTTTCTGCAGCAAAATGTAGGAATATTCACACTAAGTGGGATGAATAACGACCACATAAAAGCCTCATGTCAGAACAGGTTTTACCTCCAAATGAGTTATGGCAAAAAATTGTCAGTTT